GGCTGAGTCAACCCTGAGCCGGTGAGGTTTGAACAGCCGAACTGCAGAACTGCAGTCAGCTGAAGTAGCCTGCAGTGCTGCATTTAACCACTGCAACACCTCGGCAATTCAAGAGAGGGCCAGGGATGCTTTGTGTGTTGACACCTTGGACACTGAACTGTCCTAAATACAAGGCAATGGCCCAGTGCCAAATTTTGATCACATGACTGTGGAGATGCAGTGATGGTTCTAAGTAGAAGGACCTATTGTAAGGACCGTTTTTTAAATGTTACCGTATTTTTCGGAGTATAAGACACACCTTTTTTCCTCAAAAAACAGGGTGAAAATCTGGGTGCGTCCTATACACTGAATACAACATTTTTTGGCCTCCCGAAACCCCACCCCCTTTGCAAAACAGCCCACTTTTGCTTGGTTTTGCCCTTCCCCAGCCCCCAGAATCACTCTGGAAGCCTCCTAAAGGCTTTTATAAGATATGGGATTTATTTTATCAAAGGTTAGATAAAAAATATGGAAATGAAAGATACTAGAGAATGTTATCAATACAATGAATAATAGAATGATACTGAATATAATATAAAGATATACTATTATTGGACAGATTGAAGATGACATAATGAACTGTTATAATATAAATGAACCCAATATTTACTATATCTCATGTAAAATGAAGGAATAATAGTGATAGTCAAACAAATGAGATATAATGATAATAATGTACACAAACATATTCAATTTGATATTATGTGATTTATATAAATTGCAAGTGATGACTATGGAAAGAATGCACAAAAACCTTGTCACCAATCAACACACTGTATGTAATGGAAGATGGTTCTATGTTTTATGTCTTGTTTGTCTATGTCTATCCAAAAAGCTTTTTATAAAAAAAAAAGAATATTATGCATAAAATGAAGTAATAATAGTTATAGTCATATAAATGATTAACAATGATAATAATGTATACATATACTAGATTGATAATATGAAATTTTATATAAATTGTAAGTGAGGACTATGGAGAGGATACATAAAAATTTTGTAACCAAATATAAACAATTTTACAAAATAAAATATAAAGATGTAATATTAGTGGATGGTTTTGGAATGCCATAATCATGTAAATTTATTTTAAACTTAGAATATCTCACATAAAAGGAAGTAACAATGGTTGTAGTAAAATAAATGTTTAATAATGATAATAATTGTATACATATATATTAGATGGATAATATGAGATTCTATATAAATTGTAAGTGAAGACTGTGGTGAGGGAGTACAAAGGTTTTGTAACCAATCGACACACTGTATGTAACTGGAGGATGGTTTTTAATGTTTTATGCCTGTTTGTTTGTTTGTTCAAAAATAAAAAAATGGGGAAAAAGAGTTCAAGTCACCTTATTTCTTTCCCATCCTTTATCAGGTAATTGACTTTCTGGTTTTTCCTTGATTAGGTTAAAAACCTTAGAACAATTATTCTTTGATTTACTCCAGCAGAGCACAGATTTCTGTCTGAAGTTCTTAATCATGAGTTGCCATTCCCGAATCCCATTTTTAAAGCATCTAACAGAATATAATAGAATAACAAGTTGGAAAGGTCTTCTAGTCCAACTCCCTACTTAGGCAGGAAACCCTACACCACTTCAGACAAATGGCTATCCAACATCTTTTTAAAGACTTCCAGTGTTGGGGCATTCACAACTTCTGGAGGCAAGTTGTCCCACTGATTAATTGTTCTCACTGTCAGGAAATTTCTCCTCAGTTCTAAGTTGCTTCTCTCCTTGATTAGTTTCCATCCATTGCTTCTTGTTGGACATTCAGGTGCCCTCTTCTTTGTGGCAACCCCTGAGATATTAGAACACTGCTATCATATCTTCCCTAG